CTGTATTTTATTTATTAATGCATTTTTAATAATATATGGTTAATAAGGATCTATTTTAAGCTCACAAACAAATAAATTTTAGTTTTTAATAGAGTACAGAAAAAAGTAATCTAAATTTACGAATGCATGTACTGTACTGTAAATAAAGTACATAGTTATAAATGTATATATTTTAATATGATTTTATGTGCTTTAAACGCTTTTCTAGTGATATTACGACTTCAATATTTGTGGCGGACGGACGTAAAGTCAAATAAAATGACTTAAACTTGATTTTTATTTTTCCATATACTTTTTTGACAAACGACATATAATCGGGAACGACGTAAGTCGAGGTATACCTGTATTTGCAATGTAACTTGAAATTTTTCCTGCATATTTTTTTGTTAAAAATAGTTATTTTTTTTATCCCAAAAATTTAATACAATTTTTCTTACATAAACAGTGGTCAAATAACATTATACTGAAAGATATGTACTATACATTCTCTAAAATTTTGGTATNTTAATTAGAGACCCAAATAAAACAAATATTTGTGTTTTTAAATAAATTTTTGTTTGTCCCTTTTATAATAATTGAATTTATCTATTTCTAAGTAAAAATTGAAAGGGTCTGTAGAAGTAATTTTTTAAAATATCCTTTTTCGTGATAAAGTTTTAATACATATTACTATAATCTAGACATGTTAATTTTTAAATATACTTGTATATTTAAGGAATGGGTTACAAATAGGCCTATAATATATATACTTGTGGCCCCAAACTCCATGACTTCTTCCAATGTGGCCCAGAGGAACAAGAAGGTTGGACACCCCTGACATAAAGTATGAAACTTCCTTTAATTATAACATTAGGCACAGGGAACTGTTGACTTTTTTTTTAGGATCTGAATTTTCAGCTTCTACTTTTCTACTTTTTATTTCCTTTTGAAAATCAGCTCAACACTTTTTCCGCTATCATTTTCTGGGATGGGCCGTAATTCTCGCTGAAATTGTAGTTTTTTTAATGTAGTGTAGGACCTACAAACACTTGTCTTTTTCTTCTACCCGCGACCCCCAGGGGGGGTCGCAACCCACAGGTTGAAAAACACTGATCTACAGGATAAGAGCTTTAATTGACACCTGAACTATATTTTTGTAAATAAGAACAAATGCCAATTACTAACAATAAAAGTAAGTCATACAACTGTCTATTGCCATTACAAAAATATGTTTACTTTACAAGTAACTTTGACACTATACAGTAGTTTTGTAATTTTACATTTGTTATTTATGTTTTATGTTTGTATGCAAGAGGCAATTTGAAAATGTTTTATCTCTAGAATTCTAAAGATCTGTTCTCCATACTGTCTGTACTGTACCATACTATCAAAAGTACTTATGAAGTAAACATATTTGCATAAGGCTGATAGACAGTTGTTTGACTTATTTTTATTACTCAAACTAAGTTGAACAAATGGAAAACCACTTTCAATTAATACAGTAGAGCATTGATTATCTGACCCCTGATTAACCATCACATCGGTTAACTGACTGTTCTAGTCAGCAAATTTCAAATGTCCGCTAGTGATGTGGCACTATAATATTTAGCTATGTCTTGGCTACTTTAATATTACTTTTGTTAAATTTTTGCATGTTTTAGCTGGCATCAACGGCTCGACCATTGAAGGGAGGCCAATATTTAAACAAGACTTAATTTTCTAATTATGAGTGGTTTGTTTCATGAGCAATAAAATAATTTTAAAATAATTTTTAACGATACAATAACGATGATTATTATTTTAAAAAAAATTTGTTAGGCTAAACATCCATGAAAATTCTACGCGAAATTGGTTAATAGCGATATACTAATAAACTAATTACATGGGATATACTAATATCCTAATATACTATACTAATAATGTATTTTTTTCCTTCTTTTAGGTTATCTAATTTTTTCAGTTAACTGGCCAACCTGAGTCCCCAATTGAGTCAGATAATTGATGCTCTACTGTATAAAGATTTTTGTAAATTTAAGATATTATTAAACAATTTTCAGGTTAGAAGTTAATGTTATGCAAAAATTCATTTAACTACTTTCTAAACAGTAAATGAAATAATACAACAGAATTTCAGCATTTTAATGGGCATGACAATCCATTTTAAGCTGAATATCACAACTAATACTAGTATTTTCAATATTTAATGAAGTTTAAGCAGTTCCTTTTCAAATATTCTTTTTTTTTTTTTCTTTTCATTTTACTTATTTTATAAAATTAAGTTTTGTTTATTACAATATTTAAATATTTTCAGAAATTCTTGTTTTGACTTTAGAAAATATAATATTAAGATAACGACAATGATCAGCTTAGTTTAAGGTTAGAGTAATACCATACACTCACTAATCTGAACTAATTCTTTTATGAGGTTGTTCAGATTATCAAGGGCTAATATAAAAACTAGAAAATAAAAAAAATTTACATTATTTTTAAAAATTTTCAAGTACATGTGCAAAATGTATTACAGTAAACCAGAACCAACTCAGACTAATAAAGAGTGAAGATTGTCCAAGCTTACGAAAGTATGAGTTAGAGGAATGTTTTCTCTGATAACATGGAAAAAAAAGTGGATATATAGTACAGTAATTTATTACAATCAGCTTTATACAAAGTCTTACTGAGTTTTAGTAGGTTTTACTGCTGAATTTATTATTACAAAAAGTGAGCTCAAAAAATTTTGTGACAATACAGTATACAATATTGTACAGTCTTTAGTAATTTATCAACTATAGTCGACCCCCCTATAACACTGTTGATTATTCTGTTTTATACGAATTCCATGTTGTACAAGTCACTTAGATTTTACAAATACGTGTGCCGGGCTGTGAACGGCTCATGTATTTGTAAAATCTAAGTGACTTGTACAACATGGAATTCATATAAAACGGAATAATCAACAGTGTTATAGGGGGATGTACAGTAATATAATGCATGGTATTGCAAATATTTCTGAATATCAAAAACACTCATTAATTATAATGAATTTATAATTATAATTTTTCTATTGTGAAGAAATTTTCAATTAACTGTACAAAATTTTTGTACAGTTAACTTCAAAAATTTGAAAAAATTCGACTTTTAAGTTAGCTGGGATTACTGTATTTTAACTAAAAATGTATAGTACTTAGTAATTTTTTAAAATTTATCATATTTTTTAAAATGATTTCTTTTACTTCTTTTTGTAAGCTGGAACATTTAGCAGAAAAATTAACAAAATTTATTCATATTAAAGTGAGTATGGATTGGTGACATTGTACTGTATTTTGCAAAGTTAATATCATAAACATTGGACTATTAACGCTCAGAGTGAAATGAGTTTATATAATATATATATAAAATTTAATAATAAATGCAAAATTATTATGATTATTATTATATAAAGTTGAAAACTAGAATTTGAAAGACAAATATTTTATATTGAAACTTATAAAAATAATTCAGCAGATTATAATTTGAGATCCACTACTTCACAAAACCAATGAACCGGCAATAAAAAAAGAACTACTCACTTTGTGAAGCAAACTATCCTACAATCATCAACGACTAAGTAAAGTTTACGATCCGTTCCAAAAACGTGCAACTCGAATTTTAGAACACCAGGCCTGAGGACGTCCTTTTAAACACGAATGAAAACATTTGTTTCTCAGAGCAAGTAGTCCTTTTTTATTATCGGTTCATCAATTTTGTAAAATAACAAATGTCAGATTAATATTAATCAGCATTGGGGTGTCATTTTTAAGATTCTAATTTTTACAGCCATACAAAATATATGATATAATTTGTTTGTTTTATTAAAAAAAAAAAAATGCATACATAAATAATAGCAAACGTTTTTACTTATACAGAATATTATATTTCAATTCTGTGTTCAATTCATTTGAAAAGATTAGTAGACATATATTTCCAACTCTACATTCTACTAATTAGTTAATGTAAAATTAAAATTATACAATTTTGTGTTCTACTATTTTATATATAAATTTTTAATAATATAAAGAGAAGATAGATATAACCTTTACCATAAAAATTACAAAACTGAAAATTTTAAAAACAAAGGAATTAAAATTTTGTTCTCTATTAAACTATATCATTTTATTACTTTCATTATATTATTAAACTATAAAAATGAACAATTATTATTATGTAATAAATATCTATTATGCAATAGACAAAAAATGCAAAAATTCATCACAGCTATGGAGAAAAAAGTTAATTATATCATTTTAAATTACAAAAATTTAATAAATGTAAATCTACGCCGTCTTTGTTAGTGGCGCAACGGTTTTAAAACTTTACACTTTCTATACTTTAACCTTTAATCCAAACCGTAGTTTTGCATTATATTATGGTTTCAATAGTCATTACATAATCAGTTTCATTTATTATAAACATTTTAGATTGACCTTAACAAAATTAATAAATGATAAAATATTAATTTTATTAGGAATAAAAATATAAAGAAAATTCTTTTATTTATTTGACATTCAAATATCTTGTGCAGAATTTAATTTGTATCCAATTTTTCTTCAGATGTTTCCATTGCAATCTTATAAAATCTTATTCTTAAATTAATAAAATTTCGTATTTGATAATAAACAGCTGTAGATGTTTTGATTTTGAATACAATTTCTGAAAACGACACATTAAATAATCAATTAATTACACAATTCTGACGTAATTAACTTTTTAAATCAATTTCATAGTTTAAATATTTAGCATTTTTAAAGATTTTATATTAATATTTCCAGTTTTAATTAAATTATTTGAATATTTTTCCATTTCTGCACATTTCCACAGCGTAATTTTTTAATCTGAGAAATTAAGAAATAAATTTATCTGAAAATTTTCCCATCAGTTTACATTGGGAACAGTTATGTTGCAATTGCGTTAAAAGAACCGAACTTGGGTCTAAGCGTAGGAAAAGTTTATAAAATTTTAAATAAAGAAAATTAACATAAACTTACTCGAATTCATTAGTTGCCATGATAACAGAGTTGTTACATTCATATTAAGTTACTTTGATATTTACGATTGACATCATTCCGCCTTTACACTTTTAATTACTCATTTCCTTTCTAAGAAATTCCTACAAACTTCTTCCGCCATCTTCCTATACATTTATAAAATAAATTTTCGTTATCGATTCCGTCACCAGATGGAAGCACTACATATTTTCAAACTTGATTATTGACGAATTAAAATTCTCGTTTCAAAATACTTTAAAAAATTATTTTATATGGATAAATTATTTATTTAAAAAAATTATCTTACGTTATTTTACTATATTCGTTAGTACTACAATCGGTCACGATATTTTCATATTGATTATGCTGTTTTTTTTATATAAGTGTGTAGGCTATATATAATGTGTACTATATGTATAAATGACCTATCGAGCGGTATAATAATAAAACTTCATGTTTTTATTATTAATAAATTATTATATCTTCCTCGGTATGAGGTAATAGAAAAGAAATAAGTTTAAAATATTAAAATATTTTAAGCTTATTTTCTTGTTAAATAGAAGTATTAGATGTAGTCTATACGAAGTTAATATGCAAATATACCATATGCAACTTATATAAACTGCAATATTCCGTAAATTTCTGCGTAAAATTATATCGAGTGATACCAACGGGAAATGACTCAATATCATTCATAATTGCGTATAGGAAAACACCAATTGGATTATCCGCAGCCTATTGTCGGCTATTGTTATAAGTGCTAAACTTCTGTTGTTCGTTATTTATAGCAACTTATATAAAATACCGAAATTTCGGAAGTTTATAACGTCTAAAATTCTTCTAAAATTAAAAATGTAATGAATTATGTAGAAGACAGATTTCAGATAAATAGAAATTAATTTAGATTGTTTGAATATAGTTTAATTTTAATTTCGTTTAAAAAGTTTAAATTGTAATTAGATTTTATATATAAACAACTAAATTTAAGAGTTTTGTTAGTGTAGAAATGAGATTTTTTTTTTTATTTGTTTGTTGTTCAAATGTTAATTTAAAAGTGGTATCGTTTATTTTAAAATTTATATATTTCAATGCAGAGCGATTTTGTTTAAAAATATTAGCAAAAAATCGTTTAATGTTACCGTTTTTCTATAACTACTATCATTAAGATAGCAGGTACAGAAAAATGTTCTGGAAGAAAGAAAAAATAAAGGTAAAAAATATCCGTTTTGTTAATTGGAGAGTGCAAAAGTTAAAAAAATATATTATTTCATTGCTTTTCAATATACAAAAAATCTATTTTTTTCTTATTCATGGAGCATGCTTATTCATATATTTACTTATGCATAAGGATTTATTTTAGATTTCATTCTGTTATAATATCATTATACAATTTTTTGATTCAGAAATTTAATTCTTAATTTTCGAAAAAAAACTATTTTAAGGTTAGAAAAACTAATTTTTTTAAAATAAAAAGTAATGAAAGATGAGAAGGAAACAGAATATTAGATTATTTTGCAAATTTAAAACTCTCAATTAGTATAAAATATCATTCTTCCTTATAATTAAAAGATTAAGTTAAAATAAAACAATGTCTTTATTTCTTGCAACATAAGTACTTTTGTTTCAATATTTGTGATGACTTCTATTATAATTTCCTTGATTTAATTGTTTTATTTTCCTAATAAAATACTTCTTTCTTGTTTATAATATTATTAAGTGTTAAGTTAAATTAAGTTTATTAAGTAATTTATTTAAGGAACAAAATTTATATGTTCAATAATATTTTAAAAAACTGATTTTGTTTTTAAGAGAAAAAATCTGAAAAAATATTCTATTAAAATAGAAATTCAATATGATAAATTTATTTATAAACTTTATAATCTTCAAATATTCCAAAATTGATCTTAAAATTATTTTAAAACTTAAATTCGACTTTAAAAGAGTATTTTGGAAATTATTACAAGAATTTAGCTGTAAAATTGTAATACAGTATTAATTATAACAAATATTTATCTTCTTGTAATGCATGCATGGTTTTAGATACCTATTTATATAATTTTTAAAGAAATTTTTGCAATTTTCAAAATTACATATGAAAAATTGGTTAATCCAGACATTACATCTTAATGTAGTGTCAAATTTTGAGATTTTTTAAAAATATGAGTCTATACAAAAAATAGTATTTTTCTTTATAAACAAAATGCAACCTAAAATAGCTTTCCGGAAAAAGGTCTAGCTTGCAGGAAATAGGCATTTAGTTTTAAAGGGACAATTTGAAAGATTTCAGGCAGGATGTAGTGAGACAAAGAACGAAAATAAGCATTAAAAATATAGAAAAATAAACGCATGGCACTAAAGAAACGGTCATGAAAGATATGATGACAATTTATAAAATTTTTAACCATTAAGTATAAATATTTTTCAAGCGACAAAATCACAAGGTAATTTTTTAAAATTCTATTATATCCTACTAATACTGTATGTAAAATGAATTTAATACACTAAACTTTTAAACAGAAGAAAAATTTATTTCGTTTTATTGACATTTTATTAGTTTGTTTTAATTTTTTCTTGTATGCAAAACGTATCAAATAATTTATACATTTTCATTATCATTAACAATTTCTCTGTTTGACATTAAGAGATGTCCAGAAAGCAGAAATGTTGAACGTGATTTGAAATCCCGAGCATGATTTGAATTGAAGCGTCGTAATGAAAGTGCGATCCGTTCCAATGCTACCATATAGATTGCTTTCTAAAAGTATTGTGCTTATGTTTGATTAAAGTAGTAATCTATAGTAAAAGTATAGTGTAATTAAGTAGTAAAATTTATACTAATTTGTGAATTTTTTTAATTGCACAAGATATTTTCTCAGTATAAATTTGTAGATCAATAAAAGGATTGTTTTATACTTAAATTTGAATAGTTTTAGCCTTAAATAAATAAATAAATAAATATATATATATTATATAAATCCCATATAAACACATTAAATCCGACTGTTTTAAAGTATGTTATATATCATCGTATTTCTCCATCAATCTAAATAACGCATTTTGGCTATTTTTGGCTATTTATAATAATTTATTTGGAACCAAAATACCAAAATAACTTATTTTGAATGTTGACTATACACTGCTTTTCTAAGAATGGCATTAAATAAACTTTTGGCGATTGCCAAAAAATATATAAAGCTTTCATTTCTTTCAGCATTAAATTGGGTCTAATAAGTCTTAATATAGAAAATAGAAACAAATTTATTAGATAAAATTTAATGTTTAAAATTTTTTTAAGTCTTAGTATATTTTACAAATAGATCAGNTATTTATATAATTTTTAAAGAAATTTTTGCAATTTTCAAAATTACATATGAAAAATTGGTTAATCCAGACATTACATCTTAATGTAGTGTCAAATTTTGAGATTTTTTAAAAATATGAGTCTATACAAAAAATAGTATTTTTCTTTATAAACAAAATGCAACCTAAAATAGCTTTCCGGAAAAAGGTCTAGCTTGCAGGAAATAGGCATTTAGTTTTAAAGGGACAATTTGAAAGATTTCAGGCAGGATGTAGTGAGACAAAGAACGAAAATAAGCATTAAAAATATAGAAAAATAAACGCATGGCACTAAAGAAACGGTCATGAAAGATATGATGACAATTTATAAAATTTTTAACCATTAAGTATAAATATTTTTCAAGCGACAAAATCACAAGGTAATTTTTTAAAATTCTATTATATCCTACTAATACTGTATGTAAAATGAATTTAATACACTAAACTTTTAAACAGAAGAAAAATTTATTTCGTTTTATTGACATTTTATTAGTTTGTTTTAATTTTTTCTTGTATGCAAAACGTATCAAATAATTTATACATTTTCATTATCATTAACAATTTCTCTGTTTGACATTAAGAGATGTCCAGAAAGCAGAAATGTTGAACGTGATTTGAAATCCCGAGCATGATTTGAATTGAAGCGTCGTAATGAAAGTGCGATCCGTTCCAATGCTACCATATAGATTGCTTTCTAAAAGTATTGTGCTTATGTTTGATTAAAGTAGTAATCTATAGTAAAAGTATAGTGTAATTAAGTAGTAAAATTTATACTAATTTGTGAATTTTTTTAATTGCACAAGATATTTTCTCAGTATAAATTTGTAGATCAATAAAAGGATTGTTTTATACTTAAATTTGAATAGTTTTAGCCTTAAATAAATAAATAAATAAATATATATATATTATATAAATCCCATATAAACACATTAAATCCGACTGTTTTAAAGTATGTTATATATCATCGTATTTCTCCATCAATCTAAATAACGCATTTTGGCTATTTTTGGCTATTTATAATAATTTATTTGGAACCAAAATACCAAAATAACTTATTTTGAATGTTGACTATACACTGCTTTTCTAAGAATGGCATTAAATAAACTTTTGGCGATTGCCAAAAAATATATAAAGCTTTCATTTCTTTCAGCATTAAATTGGGTCTAATAAGTCTTAATATAGAAAATAGAAACAAATTTATTAGATAAAATTTAATGTTTAAAATTTTTTTAAGTCTTAGTATATTTTACAAATAGATCAGTCCAACAAAAAATTATTGTATTTCAATATACGGTATAAAAATGTGTAATCTATATAAGGCCTTTGCAAAATTATAATTAACAATCAAAAATATCCCATACGATTCTATCATAAAAGCATTAATATCAGAAACAGTATTTAGTGCAGGCATGGCCAACATACGGCCCGCGGGCCAGATCCGGTCCGTCTAATGAATTTATGTGGCCTGGATCAATCTTTGAATATTAGCTACTGAAGTGCGAATAGCTGGATGTAAAATCCTGACGCCTAAAAAAAACAGGTCAACAACTCGTGTAAGTACAGCGTAGAGTGTTAATAAAGCATGATAATGTGAAAAATGTATCTGTAATCTCTATATACAATTCGGTCTCTACGGGGTGACACTACAATGAGATCTCGCATCACCTCAAAATCTTAGGCAACCTCTGGTTCGGCCCGTGGAAAAAGTTTTCTATCCGATTCGGCCCGGCGGCAAAATACTGTTGGCTATTATCATTTTAAAATTGAATATATAATTTAAAATATTAATGTGCATTAATAAATAATTACTTTAATAATAAATTATTTTATTTTGACATCGTCACAATGCCGGAGTACAATTTTTAAATACATTTTTAAAAATTTATTTAATTTAACATATATGTTATCCACCTTTAAATTAGCATTGTCTTGCCCCTGTACATCATACTTTTCCTTTAGCAATCAAGTCGTGCCTGTCATATAACTTCTTTGACGGGAAAAATTTTTGAATTAAAATAACATGACTTCTGGTTTGGATCGAGAGTTATTATATAGTTAATCGGTATCTCCTACACCCAAAATTTCCATATATGGTCTCATTTTTTATCTATCTCACTCTGTTCTGGAGATTACGGAAAGACAGCTGACGGACAACAGTGGGAATTTATAGGTCTACAATTTTTTCAAATTGCAGCCCAATAAAAATTAATTTTTCAAAGATATAACAAAATATGTATGTTATGCAGTATACAGTATATGTATATACAATCAAACGTCGGTTTACGAACTTATTTGTTCCTAAAAGTTGTTCGGAAACCGATTTGTTCAAAGGGAAATGAATTTTCCCATATGAAACAAGGTAAAATGGACTAATCCGTTCCGTTCCCCGAAACAAACCTGCTTTTTTACCTTTTTAGCAGAATTCATGCATAAAAATAAAAAAAAATTAAAATTAAGATTTCCTTTAAACAATTTATGTTATTTATTTTAATATTGTATTTTTTACAAATTTGCATATATAATCGATTTTATTAATAAGAAATACGAAATATGAATGTTATGTATAATCACCTAAATAAGATCAATTATCCATAGAAAGTATTCTCGGGAGGAACCTTTCTGGTAGATCGCCAAACTGTTGCGTTGCCTTACCGATTAATCAAGTCTAATTTATAAAACAGAGAGGAATATTTCCAAATTCGTCTGCAGTTGCTGAAAACTAGTAATAAATCGAATTTTGACTCATATTAATCATAATTTATTGTCACTTCATAATTCGTACTAAATCCTGAACCTACTTGTAGTTGGAATATGAAAAACATTAATTGGAATAAAAACGAGCATGTATTTAAACTGTTTTGGAATAGGCCCAGAACCTAAATCAAACCATTTCCATTTAAATATCTTTTCTTTTTGTTTTCTTTTCAATTCTTTCCTCCCTGTAGGCACTAAGAGAGCTTTATTTAGCAAGCCCATTAAGGTCCACAATGAGGTGGCCGGGTGGTGAGGGACGGGGGCCGACATATCCGGACGGAACACCCCTGAAAAATTCCTAGGGGTTTTTCGATTTGTCCGGATTCGATTCCGAGTCCTCCAAAGCGGTAGGCTGCCACCTTAACCGCTCGGCCATCTGGTCGTACCATTTAAATATCGTGAACCAGAAACCGAAGGGAAAGCAATTTTATTTCCAAGCTAAAACGAGAGCCTTTTTAAAAGTTTGATTGAAGAGAGTTATACTCATTTCACTATATTTATATTCCAAAATCCTAAAACAAGACTTCAAGCATATTTTTAAATTTTCAGATATATTGATACTAAGTTCTCATATTTGTTTTTTAAAGTAACGCTACTGTATCAATAAGATTTGATTTATCAGAAAGAAACTACAGGCAGAGCCGACTCTGCTACAGTATAGCAAAATTTGAATCTTAAAGTGCTTATGCTCTTTGTTTGTGTAAAAGCACTATACATATTCATAATTTTTCGTTATAAGTTTGACATTTATATCAATTAGAACTTTTTTAATTATTTAAAAATTTCTTCGAGTAGCGGGCGCTAATAGAACTTTTTTATTATCATTATAAGTTGGCCGAACGGCGATGGATTTACATCCTTCATTGCTTGGCTAGTCCTCGATATCTAAGCCAAAGCATCCTAAAAATTTCTGAGATAGAATCGCAGTGGGATCCTCAAATCTGCAGATAGATGCTACTGCCTAGGTCGGTTCGCCGAGGCTATAAAGGTCTAGGTATTATAGTGATTATAAATAAATTTTCATCATCATACAGAACATATGAAGAATATTTTTCGTTTTATTTGTAATTCGGACATAATTTAAGTCAGTCTCTTAGTTCCGAATGGAGAAAAATCGTATACAGTATATTAATATTAATTTATTATTTTCAAATAAATAAGTAATAATTATGCATAGTTATAAAATTCATTTAATTAAAAATATAAAATTACAGTTAGTGATTAATGTTATTTATAAATAAAACGACAATAATTTAATTTTAATCTTATTGATATTTGTAATAATTATTAAAATTAAAATTTGANCGCTATTACAGCATCCACAGCAGCGAATGGATAGTTTCTATAAGCGAAATTTACTTTTTCGTGGAAGCCGCCATGTTAGTTTGTTGACTACTCAACGGTCTTTCAGGTCGTTGAGACCGTTGAGCTCAACGGTGAAACAGCGCTGACGTCACTAGTCTCAACGGAGAACTCAACGGTCCATTTAGAAACGTTGTTCTCTCACCGTTGAGTCAACTGTTGAATATAGAAACGTACGGAGAATCGCAGTGGGATCCTCAAATCTGCAGATAGATGCTACTGCCTAGGTCGGTTCGCCGAGGCTATAAAGGTCTAGGTATTATAGTGATTATAAATAAATTTTCATCATCATACAGAACATATGAAGAATATTTTTCGTTTTATTTGTAATTCGGACATAATTTAAGTCAGTCTCTTAGTTCCGAATGGAGAAAAATCGTATACAGTATATTAATATTAATTTATTATTTTCAAATAAATAAGTAATAATTATGCATAGTTATAAAATTCATTTAATTAAAAATATAAAATTACAGTTAGTGATTAATGTTATTTATAAATAAAACGACAATAATTTAATTTTAATCTTATTGATATTTGTAATAATTATTAAAATTAAAATTTGAAATCCAGTAAGTAAGATGGCGCTTTATTCGCACGTGTGTTTATTTTTGTCCGGGAAGGAATTCGAGTGAAATATGGAAAATAAATAATCGTAGTCATGGAAACTTCTTGATAAATACAAAAGCAGGTGCATAATGGAGGTGTATATTAAACAGTACACAATATTTACGATTTTTATGAATTATCTGGATTTTGAATTCCTTATGGAAGGTTTACGTATGTGAAATGAAAAGTAGATATGAAACATATGTAAACACGATACATTCATTATTGAAAGGTAAATTAACAATTGTTATAATTAGTAACATACTTAATATTTTAGGTAATGTGCTTTAAGTAATTTTAATATTTTCTTTTTCTGTATGCAGAATTGAGAACTACTTCATAATACTCAATTTCAATTGAATAGTTTATATATAATTTATCAATTACAACTTTAAATCTAATTAATTTTACTAAAATTAGTATAATTAATTGCAATTGATATTAAATAATAATGTGATTATGTCTGTAGAAGATTGCGTAACAATTTAAATATTCAAAACAATAAAATTAACTATGTAGTTATATAATAAATTGATTAATATTTTAATTGTTAAAGGTTATAAATAATCATCACATTAATTGTTTAAGATAAGAGTTTTAAGCATTTAATTTAATATTCATTGAATAATTTAAGAAGTGTATATATTTGAATAATGATGGAAATTTTATAATATTTGCACATATACTGTACTGGTAATTTTAGAAGTAATGATTCAATGATCTCATTTAAATGTACATCATTATCATTACTATTTAATATATTAAGGAATATATGTATATAGATTATATGTCTCTCATCTGCATTCAAATGTCTTGTTGTCTACAACTACTTGGAAGTGCTGTAAATGAAAAGTGGCTCTGCAGAGGTGTTTTGTGTTCTGCAGTTTGCAAAGTCAGGATCACTCATCATGCAATGTGAATAATTTGCAGGAGTGCAGAAGCAGCAGAATTCTATAGCACTTTCAGTTTCACAGCTACAGGAGCTGTAGAATTGTGGCTGCTTGGAAGGAGTGACAACAGATATGCTGTAGTGAGGAAGAATTCAACTATTGGTTAGATGTGTGCTATGTGACATGAGGTGCACATTGAGAAATTTTAATGGACAAATTTGAAATTTGGACAGTTTTTCAATGTTTTAATGTACATTAAAACATCTCAGATAATAATTAATATAATTACAATAATTTAAAATGCTAGCATTCTTTGTAGAAGACTCCTTATATAGAGTTCATAAATATTAGAAAACTAAACTTATTAAATGCATATTACCAGTAATTGTTTCAAACATCATTTTTAAAACAAAAAAAAAAAATATTGAAAATAGTTGAATATGTAATAGTTAAAGTTTTATTTCAGTGACAAATTATTTGATAGTAAATACTATAATTACAATAATTTAAAATGCTAGCATTCTTTGTAGAAGACTCCTTATATAGAGTTCATAAATATTAGAAAACTAAACTTATTAAATGCATATTACCAGTAATTGTTTCAAACATCATTTTTAAAACAAAAAAAAAAAATATTGAAAATAGTTGAATATGTAATAGTTAAAGTTTTATTTCAGTGACAAATTATTTGATAGTAAATACATAATTAGATTTTTAAATAAAATAAACTAAATTTAATTTAATCTGTTCATAAATTAAAAGACTATGGAAAAATTTTAATAGCATAATGACAGGTATTTCAACAATTTGAGAAAAATCATAATAAATAGCATATTGCTTTATGTATTTTTTCAGAATATAATTTTCAGAATTCTGATAATTATCTTTCTTACATATTTAATAAATATAATACCTTTTTTTCATTTTGTAATCAGATATAGTCCTTTTATGTACTAATAATTTTTTTGAGTATTTTTATTTCTTTGAACTAATCTCTTTTTAAAAATAAATTATTTTAATTTTATTTTAAAATGCATATATTAATTTTAAATTAAGACATAACAATAATTAGAAATATGCAATTAAAATTAAATGGAATCAGGATATTTTTTTAGAAATGTATATTGTATTTCTAGAAAGATGACTGTTTTTTAAATGTTAGAATTAAGCGTTAGTGGTATATTATAATGACCAGTTTCAATTAATAAAGGTTACATGACTACTTTCAAAATAAATACATAATTGGTGGTTTCAAATAAATAATGTGAAAGAAAATGTATAGTGAGAATATTATACAGTACTAATAATTGAAGATAAATTTAGATAGTCAAGCAATGCAAAATAATTCTTTTGATTAATGCAAGTTTAATAAATACAAAACAAAAATAAATTAAACTATGTAAGTATAATCAAAATGTATAAATTAATATATATATATAAAATATATAAACAATACTTTTTGATATTTTGGGGTTAGAAATTTTTCACAATGCACAATATTAGGCCATATTTCAAATTTTAATAATACTGTACTGTGTTAACCATAACTTGTAAAAAATTTTTAAATTATGATAAAAATGCAATTTATGTATATGCAGAATTTTAAGAACTAATTACTAATTTTCTAGATGTCAATCATATTTTAATGCAACCCAATATATCTTCAGCTAATATTGAACTTTTATTATATCCAAAAGTATAGTATACTGTATTTGAACATAATTTGATGTCATTTCCCTTTACAAAGCCTTGAATTATATATAATTTATGCAATTTTTATATAAGCAAAGATATTCTGTGAAATGATTACTAATATAATTTTTTTAAAAATCAAGACAGTAATATATAGTTTTTTTTTAATCTGAATTTGGCATTTTTCAATTTATTTGTCTACTAAAATTTGAAATTCAACAAAATATGTCTAATAAAAAAAAGCTATAAAAATGTAAAATCAAGTTAAGACTAAATTTAATATAAATAAGTCTCAGCTCTCATTTCTATGCAATCTCATATTTTGAGTGTATTGTACAGGATGTTTAAATATGTATTGTAGATAATTTAAACAAATATTTTCATTCATAACTTTTGACCAAGGATTTCTAATTTTTAAATTTCGCAATACAATTTTCTTCCAATTAGAAAGGTATTCATTATTATTTGTTTAGTGAAAATTCGTATTTTTGATGATATGTGTATAATATGCTTGTTTTTACTGTAATGAATTTTAACGAAACAACACGAAACATTTTCCTGGTAAGGTGGCTTTACCTAATACAGCTGGGTAAGCAAGCCAATAACATAACCCGGTTCATTTGAAATACCTGTAGACTTGTTTGCTTATCCAGCCGTATTAAATCCATTTTAGCAGGTAAAACGCTATATTATCTCTTCGTGATACTATGGATACCGCGAAATTCCGTTTCGGAAATTGTCTAACCTGTTAATAAATGTTTTTACCATTAATTCATTTGCTTGCGTCAGTGATATTTATTAATATAATACTTTATGTTAATTTTACTGATTCAAGAAATAGTAAATTATTAATATAAAATTTAAGCTCGGATATATAAGCTTTACAGGATATAAAGGTAGGTATTTGTTTAATTGCATAGAATAAATACCTTCGGTTACAGAGCAATATTCCAAGCTAATCAGCTTGACAAATATTTAATGCGTAATCCACCTTATTGAAACAGTATCTATGGTCGTTGCTTGGTGGGCATTTTGGGCAGAAAGTTTCTCCGATTTTAAAAATTAACGCTTTTAACTACAAGTATTACGGTATGTGTAAAAGTAAAAATGCATTAAGTGGCGTGCAGCTTTAAAACTGCAAAACTAATTCGAAATACAATAATTTCAGTTCATCGTTTTCCAAATGGTTTCTTTTTCCCGATGCTTTTATGTTATTCCCGTACATATAATTATGAAAGTTTCTGATAACTAAAATTTAAATTCCAGTTCAGTTGTTTTTTTTCATTTTAAAGAATTATTTTATCAATTATGATAAAAAGCGCGTCATTTCACAAAAATTTTTCATAACATTACGAGAGCGATTTCGACTAAATCGTGATAAATGATAGAACATTTTTAGGTACATATAGTACTATATTTAAGTACTATATATAAGAATCAGTGAAAATCGATTAAAAACAATAAAAAGTGAATTTGTTTAACACTTTATCTAGCGAGATTTTTTTTCGAACATTTATCTGAACCCCTTCCAACCTAGCTAAGAAAATGAAAATTGGTTACTGAAATAAAGGTAATTAGCAGATGTTTTTGACACGGTGAAGACATTAAGTCATTATTTAAATTTATAATAAAACGTAATTGTTGTTATAAAATAGTATACAGTAGTGCCTCGATTATCCGACCCCCGATTAACCGACAGTCCTAGTCCGCAAATTTCAAATGTCCGTTGTGACGTGGCGCTACAATATTTGGCTATGTCTTGGCTACTTTAATATTATTTTTACGTGTTTTAGCTGGCAACACTCATTCGACCATGAAAGGGAGCCAGTATTTAAACGAGGCTTAATTTTCTAATTTTTAACGATACAATAGCGACAATTATTATTTTAAAAAATTTTTGTTAGGCTTAACATCAATGAAAATTCAACGTGAAGTAGGTTAATAATATACTAATTACATGGGATATAATAATATACTACACTAATAATGGATCTTTTCATACTTTTCGGTTATCCGACTTTTCAATTATCCGACCAACCCCAGTCCCCAATTGAGTCGGATAATCGAAGCTCTACTGTAGTTGCGTTTGATATGTTACTTCTCTCTTGTAATAAAAGATACTACATAGCTGAACATCATAATAATATTGCAAAATGCATATAATGTAATGAACTTAACACTTCGTTTAGCCAAAAGTGATACTTTTATTTATTTCATTTATTTTCTTTTTTTATTTCAAAACATTTTTATGAGCAATTTATGATGTTTCGCTATCTACAAGTTGGGAGCTGTTTCGTTACTCTTTCAACGTGGTGTTTACTACACTTTCAAGAGAAATAGTCGAAAGGGTATATCAAAGGTTCTGCTGCTAACTGACACTTCTATAGCCGAGGTTGTTTATTCTGTGGTTAATAGATTGGAAGCAGAAAGTTAATGAAGTTAGGCACTGGTTCTTCGAGATTGGTTGAATGAGATTCAGCAATATGGTCTGCTTTTCTGATAAACATAAGTTTGCTGACTCTTCTAATAAGTGGAACAAAAATATATTGTCTGTATAAATCGGTCTTCGTTAGAATATGTTGTAAAATGTCTTATGAAAATATTTAGCTTATAATGTATGAGATTTGTCTACAGTTGAAAGGATGTCACT